ATTCGACAGAAGGTGAATATATTAATATTTAATAATTAAGAATCTATGGTAATATTATAATTATTTTATTTAGAGAACAAAAGATACTGTAAATTTTGCTGTTCAAAATATGCGTGATGAATTATTATTACAGTTACAAAACTTATTGAAAAATGTTAAAGATAACACTTTACCCAACTCAAGTGTAGTAGAATCTAGTGTACTACTCAGACTTTATTGTGCATTGAAAGGAATAGCTGGTATCAAGTATGTTTAATTAAGCTAGTTTAAAAAAACATAGCAAATTATACTAATATTGAGATTATATTCTTTGATAGATTTCAGGAAGAAGAAATCACTTCTCTCATGTCTTTAGCTACGTGTTATCCACCTTCTACACCAGAAGGTGTTAGGTTTGTCACAATTTCATTGTGTATAATGATATGCTGCAATACCCTAATAGCTAGTTCAGAAAATGAAGCTAAATGTGTGCAATGGTTAAAAAGATTAGCAGGAAGCGAGTCACCTTTTTTTGGAAAGTAATATTTTATTGATTATATTTTAAGTGGCATTTACTTATTCAGAGTTCTTCAAAATTAAATGTTATGTACATTTACTTTAGGCCAACTGATACAACTGCAAGTTTTGGAGAAATGTTACTCTTGATGGCTATACATTTCCATAACAGCCAATTAACATGGATCTGTGACCATATGTGTAATACATTAGGAATGAGGATAAATATTAGACAAAGCACAATGGGAAAAATGAAACAAATTTTTACTCAAGATGTATTTCCCGAACAAGTAAGCCTTTTATTATCTTAATGTTTCATTTAAAAATTAATTTTTTATTTTAATATTAGGTTGTAGCTTCTAGAAGTGTTAATATACCTGTTACACCAAACTTAAATGCCAACATGTCTGGATTTTTACCAATTCACTGTGTTTTACAGTTATTAAAGAGTCAAGCTTTTACAAAACATCGGGTTAATATTAAAACATGGATATACAAGTATGCATTTAAAAAAGTATAACTAATTATTTAAAACAGACTCTAACTTAAATTATCTTGTTTTCTAGTCAAATTTGTGCAAGTGTTTCACCATTACATCCTCTATTACCTTCTTTAATTGAAGCTTATGTCACTTCTATCCTAGTAGTACCCAATAAAGCAACACAAGAATTAGCTGTTAATCAGCCAATTACAGAAGAAGAAATTTTAAAAGTATTTGGTGATAAGGTATTAGACCAAACTGGTAATGAATCTTTTACAGCCCATCTTCTATTGCTGTATTATTTACTTTTATACGAGGAGAATAGTATGTCCTTGGCTTCTCAGCCCAATAAATTACAGTTAGTTGGACTTGTCAGGTACAAAACTGAATTTTTGGCTGACATCCCTATTCGATATATAGTCCAACAAGCAGAAAAAGAACACCCATATTCTAGTTTGTTTTCTACTCTATTAAGACTTTTGGCCACACATTTCCCTCATTTGTCTCTAGTTGAGGACTGGATGGAAGATACAACATCAGAAAGTCAATTTGTATTGCAACACAAAGCTAAAAACATTACAACAGAAATGATAGAAAGTGGTATGATAAATCAGTGATATTTATTATCAAACTCTTTTAATCTTTTAAAATTAAACATGGTTTTAGGTTTAAGCATGATGGTTGAACGTCCTGAAAGAGCTGGAATTGTATTGAAAAGATTGTATGCTGAACGTCCAATTAAAATTTGGCCATTTGCACCTACCATTTTAAAATTCCTACCAAACACATTAGATTCTAATGTTTCAAGATATATTCAAGGTGAAATATTGTTGATTGTTGAGAATTTATAAAGAATAATAATGAAACTGCTATCTTAATATACATCAAATTAGGTCTTTGGGTTTAATCCCAGTCAAAATGGTCCATATAAAAAAAATATTAAATTATTTTTATTTTCAGAACTTTATAAAAAGGTTTGGTTAAGACTTAATACAGTTTTACCTCGAAGTTTGTGGGCACTTACTATCAAGGCTTTACAATATAACAATGGAGCAAGTGCATTGAAAGAGGAAAATTTAATTCAAGACCCTTTACAAGTTTTACAATGTGATGCTAGAGTTTACAGGTAAAAATATAAATTAAATTTTTCTTCAATTTTTATTATAATTGCTATTTATTTAGGTGTCCTACAGTTTTGAGTATTGTAATCCGAGTATTGCAATCATCCTTAGCAGCTTCAAGAAGTCATTTATCTCGTTTAGTTAATCAAAAAATATTTGCAACTGGACAATTAACTCAAACGAATAATCGTGAAGAATATAAAAACGTGTTGACAGCTGCACAAGACAGTGCTGCAGTGCAACTTTTATTAGAAGCTTGTTTGGAAACTGAAGATGATCAAGTAAGCTTATTTACATAAATATTTAGTCAAGATAGAGTTAAATTTTTGTAGAACTTTTTATTTTTTATTTTATCATATTTTTACAAATAAAAATTCAAAATTAGAGATAACCCAAGATTTCAATCAGTGCACATAATTGAGGCTTTATTACAAGATAAGTTAATACATACACATGGTTAGCTATGAGAGCAACAAACTAGTATAAAAATTAAAAAGTTAGTAATAAAAACTGGTTGCTGTGCGATTTAGTCTTAGCTTATTTTGAATACAATATTACTGTTGTTATAGTGCGGTCCACGAAAAGTGGGCCACGATCATCACGCGCCTACTGGCCGTTTTTAGTGAAACCAGAGGTTCTTCGTTTGGGAGTATTATTATTATTATTATTATTATTATTATTATTATTATTATTATTTTATTATAAAAAGTTTAAAAAAAAAATATGGAATAATATAGTCTAATGTTTACTTTAATATGATATTTTTTTTTTTTAATTATATTGTACTTACATTAGATGATTTGAAAATATATTAGGCGGGAAAACATTTGGAAACCCATACCGTAAATCGGCCGGTAGGCGCGTGATGATCGCGGCCTACTTTTCGTGGACCGCACTATAATGTTATTTCTGACTATAATTGTATTAGTATTTTTAATTTCAGAATGAAATGCCTAAACTGAAGTATAAATCATTATATTTTACATCAAGAAAAATAATAAAATAAATTATTTTATTTAGATACTCTTATTCTTAATAGAATCCTAACAATTTTTGATTATAATGGTTTCTGATTTGAATATAATAAATTCTAAAATGTTTTATCAGTTTCAAATTTAGATAGCTAACTTAGAAATAAAACATCACGTTTTATTTAAGTATTATGATGCTGAATAAAAATAAATATTTTTCCATTTAATATTTAAATAATTCTAGATTTAAAAAAAATCTTCTATAATAATTTATAGTAGTTAAATCAATTTTTTTTTTTTTGTAGAAATCATTTTCTAACATGATGACACTGAGAGAAGTAAGAGGTGTCGTTTGTTCATTTTTACATCAAATGTTTATTGCTGATCCTCCACTCGCAAAATTAGTGCATTTTCAGGTAACTAGAATTTTTTTGTTTTGTAAAATACTAATTATTTTTAACTAAAAAATTGTCTTTATATATGTATATATTCTTATTTTCAGGGATATCCTAGAGAATTACTTCCAATTACCTGTCTAGGAATTCCATCCATGCATATTTGCCTAGATTTTATTGCAGAACTTCTAAGTCAACCAGATTTTCAGAAACAGATATTTGCCATTGATCTTATTTCAAATATTTCCCAACAATATCCATTGCCAAAATCGTTAAGTTTAGCACGTTTAGCCATTAATACGATGTATACTTTTCTTTCAGGTAATATCAATATTATTATAATCCTATTGCATATTTAAATAATTAATGATCACTGTTTCATTACAGTATTGACACAAGAAGATCGCCGTGAACTCTATATGCCTACACTACCAGCATTAGTCAGAATATGTCAGGTATTTCCCACTCTGAGTGAAGACTGTATAACATTTTTAAATCAATTAGGTCGCATGTGCGTGTCAGTTACATCTGTACGTTCAGATATATTTTTACTACCTGCTGCAGCTCAAAGGAGTGAAGAAATGGAAGGACCAAAACTTAGGATGCGACGAGTTCCAAAACCAGATATCTTTGATGAACGCACGGATATTGCTGTAGCTAATAAGTTATTTGCTCAACAAGTTGAACTAACTGTCAAAGAAATATTACAGAATTGTTTGGAAAACAATGCAAGTGCTTGACTATTTTTTAAAATGTGTTTGTAATAATAAAATATTAATGCAAATAAAATTTGTCATAAAAAAATTCAATGCATGATAAAAATCACTATATCTACTAAGCAGCATTTATATTTAATTTCAAATTCCAAATGTATCAATAAATTTATTGGTTTTTTGATAAGTTATTGAAAATAAAAATAAATTTTAAAAACAGCATAATAGAGAAATGCCTCATATTCAATAATTGATTAATGTCTAAAAATAAAAATAAAATTAGAATTAAGTATTTTATTTTCTTTGGGAAGTTAAAAAGCAAAAATTCCCAGCCCATGTATGTTTATGGACAAAATAATGAGAAAAAAATGTTTAATCATTTTTTTTCTATTAATAATGAATAATTGTTAAGAACAGAATATTTTCATCAAATATTTATGTAATGATTTTCTAAGCACTAAGCACATACTTTTCGAAATCTCTTAGGCCTTTTTGAGCTAATTTATAAATAACATTTAAAGTTTTTAGTCAATTATAACTAGTAACATTAAAATAATCACTGGATAATATATGCAATTATTTTTGATAAAAATGATTTCAATCAAAGCCGTACAAGAAAAATAAATTATTAACAATAATTTGAATGTATAATAAAATATTCTTAGAAGGTATTTGTCGATTGACCATTTCTACACTAGAGTAACTTCCTCTGGTTTTTAAAATTTTATTTTTAAAATAAAATACCACTGGTATGATTATTAATGATATTATTTTTAGTATTTAATTAAAAAATTATTATTTACATATTTTTACATTAATATTTTTTACGCTTCAGTTGTATTTTGATCATCATTATCATCATCATCACTAGTAGAATCATTTTCATTAATACTGTTTGCAGTATTATTCTTTTTAGACATCTTACATTTTTCTCTTAAAACCTTTTTTCTCTTTAATCTCTTTGCTCTTTTCTTAGCTGTACGTTCTTCAGCCATTTGTTTATTTTCTAATATTTTTTGACGATACGCTTCTTCCAAAAGTTCCTTTTTAAAAAAATTAAATAAACATTAATACATTTAACATACATTTATTTTTATAAAATGTCTTACTTTTTCTGCTTTTATTTGAATATGTTTTTGTCTAGCATATTCTTTACGTCTTAAATGCCGATAAACATGAAATTCTCCACTACCAGCTCCAGCACTTGATCCCATAACATTTCTTACAAATTCGGGGACATGTGGGGATTTTTTGTCAGATCGTGGCTCAGGTATATATACAGGTTTATCCTAAGCACATAGTTATCAGATTATTTAAATGATTTTACAAATAAACACATAGACAATTATATAGGTATTTAATTTATTTAAAACATATTTTATTAATGATGACATTAATACTAATTTGATTAATATTAACTAATACAATTAGGTAAATTTTTCAAAAATTAATTAAACTTCCTTTGTTATTAAATTTATTATTATTACTAACAGCAAAACAAATGTATTGGTCAAATCAACAAGTAGTCAACATTAAAACTTGGCGCTCAATTAAATTTAAAAAACAGTAGACATACATAGGCTATGCTAACCTAGTTAGATTTGCTTATGAAACACAAATTAATTAAAACTCGAGGTATATCAACGTAAACAAAAATATACTGAGTGCTATACCAATCTTTTGTGTCATTGTTCAGCTAAGTGAATTTTCTCGTTAAGCAAAATATACTCAAGACAAATTGCCCTAAACTGATTTTAAAAAAATTAAGTTTTTTAAACAAAATAATTTTGTAAACGATTCCAGATGTTTAAGATTTCTGCCTTGAGTGGAATTATTAAGTATTAAAAACAAAAAAATTTGCACTTACAGGATTTTTCATGAGTCTTTCGAGTTTCAAACGTTGTAAATCGGTGGCATTTTTTACTAAATTTTTTACTTCAATCGTCTTGGAATTGCCATTTTCAACTTCTTCAGTCATTTTTATGAACTATTAGCACAGTTTGAAATCCTAAGATCGGTGAACCCAAAATGTATAATAATAAAGTATAATGGAGTCTTGCGACAATTAACTATATAAACATAATATAATGAACAAATATATCTAATATCCGATTATTGCCAATAATTACTAATACGACTAATACGTTGTATATTACACTTGATATTACTTTAATGCTAAGAAAAGAAATTATTAAATGTAATTAGTTATAATTTTGTAAATAATATTATTAAATATTACTTTATGCGTAAACAACGGTCTTAAAAGATCTTCAAGAACGTGATAACAATCATCAATCATCACTTTTTAACATTTATTATTTTATCACTTCTTGATAAGGTGGTTCCCGCAATATAGTTGCCTACGCATAAATTATAAGGAGTTAATAGTTAATAAATTTACATTTTTTAAGTTTCGAGGATAAATAATCAGCAATAACATCTAAAACTATCACAAAGCAAGCTAAAAAGTAAAAATTCTAACATTAAATGATTTTACTTTGTTTTAATTTTTTTAATTTAAAAATTCTATGAAAATTAAATATACCTGTGGGCTGTAATACAACATGTTAAATTGTAAAGTTTATTTTATTAAATATTCATTTGAATTCTTTTTTGATCCTTTTGATTAGTCATATAGTTAGTTATTCATTTAATAAGCAAATTAATTTAGTGTACTGCATACTATATTTTTATGATTTATAATAAATAAATATAATTTCACTAATTTCAGCAATGCCAGTGTCTAGAATTTAAATAGTTATAAATGGCCATGATCAACCCTAGAAGTTTCTGACCAGTCCGCTGGTGCATCTCAAAAAGTTTTTGAAATCATAAGATGACTCAAAATTAATGAATTACTAAAAATTAGCATAAAATTCACAACCATGTGCGAGTGTGTGACTTATTCCAAAAGCAATTAGTCATGATGGAAATATAACAAGTTATAACAGTAGTATTTTATTTTTAAACAGGTAGGTATTGATAAATTTAGTATAAATTTTATCAATGTTGAACGCTTAAATCATAATTCATAATATATCAAAATTCAAAATGATCCTAAAAGGAATATTTAGTAGACGAATACTATAACAGTCATGTCCTTCAACGTGTTAATGGTTGATATATTGCAGATACACTTATAATCCGTATATTTATATTTATTATAGATTAACTTATTAATATTTACAATTTAATAATCTTCGAATCCAGAATCTCTGTGCAATGTCTGCTGTATACGTCATGTCTTAAAGGTTTTTGAGATGTATAAAATGCGTGTCTATAGTTGATCAGTAAATTTTTGTTTACAGTTTTTTACAATATAACACACAACATATACAAGATTTAAAGCAAAATGTAAGACAATATGTATCATGATTTAGAACAATAATTCTATGAAACAATGTAATATTAGCTGTTTGTGGTAATGTCACATGTAACAGAAATGAGATAGAGCAATAGAAGGGATCCCCTAACGTAATAGGTAGGTACAGATAGATATAAATATATAATATGTTATATTATATATCTGTGCCCTGTGGTAATAGAGCTAGAAGAGGATGTTGACGGAATGGAATCAAATAAAGTTATTCTTAAAGTATAATATCTTAAACCGTGGTCTATGATGGGAATTACAGTTTGGCCACCCCTATTACATACATTATAAAAAAACATTTTATCATGATATAGATTACGGATAACGGTTATCTAGTAACTTTAATCTATGTATTTTTTAACATCTTTAAATGATGTAAACGTTATCAAACATAAACAAACATTTTTAAAATTATCATTATTTCATATTTGCTGGTGAAATATCAAATATGAAGTAAATTCAGATTTAGAACTTGCTGTTGTTTTTACCAAGTGCCAGGAACAAAAGTAACATTCATTATTAAAATTATTTCGTCACTGGTAAGTATTTTTCTAAAGTTTCAATAACATAAATCGTTAAAATCATTAATTATACTATGATTATAACTTGGGCCGTTTTGAAAATTTATCAATTTTTCTTAAAAAAAATGTAACTTTTTTGTTTCAAATTATAAGTTGTTGAATATTATTTTTATCGTTTTTCCTAGTACTATACGGATTTTATTGTTTTAACTCTTATTGGTTATTGCAATGGCAAATATCTAATTAGTGCTTTGAAAATAACTATAATACCCAACTTATTAATTTATAATTCTTAGGCATTAAAATAGGTACCTATGTTCTATATATCTAGCTATTATTATTTGTATTTACTTGAAATATTAAACATTTTTTGTTATAGTTTGAATTGCTTAAAGTGCAACAAGTAAACAAATAACTTTAGTAAATAGTTTAAAGTATTATAATTTGTAATAATTTAAGTATTTTATAAAAACTAAAAAGCCTATTTGTATTTGTCTATCTAGCTAGCTTTTGAATCAGCTAACTTTATAGAGAAATAAACAGTTTTATTTGTAATAGTCTTCAAAATTAATTTTATTTATTAAGTCTTGGATATTATAGAAATTAAATTAAAATTATTATTGTGATTTTTAATTGTTAGGTAAGTTTTATTAATAATATCCAAATAGACCATCAGTCCAATTATCAATGGTTTATTACTTTGGCATAACATGAAATGTAATTGTACAGAATAATAAATATCAATATATTTTATAGTATGTACATAATAAATGGTTTTTTTTCAATTAAAAAAATAATTTTTAAAATTCCTAATTTAAATTCATAATATTCTGATTATTCTGATTATTCTGACTAGTGTTATTATTAGATAAATAAGGTAAATATTTGTCTTCATCTATCCCAATATAATTGGAAGCAAAAGGGTAAAGAAAAGTATATAATTTGATCTTAATAATCTAAAGAATGTAGTTAACGTAGTGTAATGTTATTTATTATTCATTAAATAAATTATAAAAGGTAAGGCTATATCTGAGGAGAATGGTTTCCATAAAGTCCTCTTATCCTAAATTTATTAAAAATTTGATAAATCTTGTTAATGTATTTTACATTTTTAACCAAATTTTAAAACTTATATTCAGTATTGACTAAAATTATGTAATTCCTACATATTTTTATACTCTTCCATTTGTTAAAAATATTTAGATATTGCATTAATAAAAAATCATTATTAAAAACAAAACATAATTTGTATTCTACCTTATATTACAAAATCTTTGAAATATTGAAATACATAATATTTTATGCATTATAGATACAGGTCAATCAGTGAAATAAATTATGGTTAAAAAAAGGAAAAGTGTTCTTAAATCTTCAACGCAAGTTGTTGATTCACCGATGAAAGAACCAAGGATTATAAGTAATTACAAAAATTATACTTAAGTTTTTAAATTGTATTTAATTAAAATCTGTCTATTTTAGGAGGTAATCATTTAGAAAAGGCTCGTAACAGTTTAAATGAAGCTCTTGATATTATTGCAAAGAAAGAGCATAAAAAAGCTGATGATGTGACAGATAATGATGTTTTAATTGTGTAAGTATACATATATAGTTTAAACACTAAGTGGCTATACTAACTTTATTAAGAGAACGTTGTACCTACACGTGTTATCTACAAATTACCAATGTATACCATACCAAAATATTTATTCAGCAGTTCCAATTATTTGTTTTTAGTTTAAATTTTAAAGTGCAGTAATCTATTATCAAACCTAAAGGTAAAAACATAATCAATTTTTTTTTTGTAATATTTTAATTTTTATTATGAGTATGTAAAATATTTATATTTAAAAATTCTTATAATTTACTTGAAAAGTAAAATTTTGAAAAAAACCAATAATGTTCTTAAGTTTTTAGATCATTTTACACTAAAACTTAAGCTAAATTCATAAAATTGAAACTACTAAATTTATATTTCAGTGTGATATGTGTTAGTAAAACAAGGACAACATATGCAGTTGTAGAAAATTACAGTTTTTTTTGTAATTAGATAAAAATCAGTTGCCATCTGAAGTTATTTATATTAGACATAGTATGCAATAACATTTTTTTGTATTCTTAGTGAAGAAAATGATACAAATAAACGAATAAAGAAAAATGAAACCAAGCTGGAAGTTAAAGATTCATTGGTATTGAAATTACGAGATCGTAGCATTGATTTAGCTTCTTTTACCAATAATTCAGCCATGTATTCTATATGTCGAGCTTGGATAAAAAATGATCCATTATCTGCAAGGTTAAAATAAATGTACCTAATTTTAAAAATCATGAGATTAATTACCATTTTTTACACTTTAGACAAATAAAAAGTAAGAAATCAGAAAATTTGGAACGTTCACTTAAAAGTGAAAATGAATCATCTACAATCGAAGATTATGTCTACAAGTTGCCACCACCTAATAGCAGACCTGAAAATGAGACAGATATAATTCACAGAATACCTATGAATTTACCAAGGGATATTACATCCACCTTAGATAATAAAATTGTAAGTAATGAATTACAATTTGTATACTTCTTTGATTTTATTTATGCGTTCAAAATGATACCGCCAAATTGTAGAGCCACCAAATTAGTAGCACCAACGTTGTAAATGACATTATCATTGGCTTCATCACAAGACTTAACTTATGATCCTAGACTTTTTTAACTAGATTTTTTTTTAAATACTATCTCCAACCTAGGGTATTCACTTAAAGTAAGTTTTACCAGCCCCTATTATTAATTATAAATATTCTGTATATATATTTTTTAAATAACCAAAAAATAAGAAATTAAACTTTTATTTTTCATAAACTATGTAAAGTTTGTATTTATATATGCTTATAAATGCTTAAATTAAATAATAAAATAATAATATAATTTTTAGAATAAAGAAGAAGTTCCTACAATCAGTGAATTACTTAATGAGCATAGGAATAGATGGCTTAGTATACGACAGCAGTGGATTAAATTCAGTAATGAAAATGAAGCCCGCTACTCTATGTCAAAAAGCATTTTGAATTCAATGTTAAACAAGTAATTTATAAATTTAATTATAAATTTTTCATCATTAATTTATTTTGTAAATAATAAAATATCTAATAATAATCATAAAATATTTTGTTTGTTAACCACTTTTAATGTTTATGATGAATTAGAATTTTAATTACATTGTTGAAATCAATGTATGTTGCAATTTTATTTCTACTGTATTAAAATTTAACTGTATATATTTATGTTACAGAGATAATAATGTTTAGTACTATCACAATATACCAGTCTACAAGAAACATAATATTTTTATTAACTTTAACTTTAATTAAATATTTTATTTATATTTTATAATGTGCCTACAAAGTTAATTTTATTGTTTATTTGAAATTTAACTTTGTTTATTCTCTTTATAAATTAATACTAAAAGTATTGTCTAGCAACAATTTTATTTTAGTATAATTTTTATCACTTATTATTGTAATGTAATAAAATATTATTTATCAACCATAATATTGTGGATGTAAAAATAACTATAATAAAATATTTAATGAAATTTGCATGTACTTCAAACATAAATTTTATAAATTTGTATTTAAATAACTAGTGTATTGTTTGTCTGTAATTAATTATATCATATTTTCCTGTTGTACACAATGATAGTGTGATTTAAATTATCTATAAAAGTGTACTGGTATTTAATCATTTTTATTATTTTACAATAACAAAATAATGGTAAATTGTTTTGAATATCACAGAAATCATTTGAATATTTGAACAATTGCTAAGTATAAACTTATTAACAAATTATAACTATAAAAAGTATATACAAAACAAACTTATTTTTGTTCAGATATTTCTCCAAATTGTGTATACACCATTTATATCCATGTATGAAAGATAGCTTTCCAGATTTATAAATAAATATTGGAATAGTTTTTAATGACTATTATGAATATATTATTAACGATTTATCGTTTAAATATCTACTAATTTATGGGTAGTGTAACCGTAACAACAGCCATAAGGCTATAAAACTCACTTGCTAGGACTAAGCTAGGTTTTGAACAAACCTATATCACATTTTTATTGATTGAAGAAGTATTAGTGACAGTCAAAAATTATAATTTATTGAGACGGATGCTCATTTTATTGCCGACCACCTTGATAAGACTACTAGATCAATTAAAAATGGATTATAATTAAAGACCTAAACTTAAAAATACAATCAAATAGTTTTAAAATAACACGCTTATCCATATTCCATATCAACTGGTTGATAAGGTTCTAGATTTGATAAAAAAATTAGTAAGTTTTCCTAAATATACCTTTAACCTATGTATTATTTAATGTATTCTATATAATTATAGTACAATTCACATTTCACCATTTCAACATTTTCTAGTGAATCACTATATCATTATTCATTATATAATACAACTAGTATTGTTAACATTTGACATATTATATTTATTTTATTTACGGTCATCCGATCATCACTTCTTAGGGTTCGTGTTTCATTCTGTTACATAACTTACCTAATGTTCCTGTAGTTAAAAATTAAAATCTTTTTCAGTTTCAAAATCGTCTGTGCCTAAGTGACGTCGTACCACTCGTACCGCAGTTAATAATTTATTATATTACACATCATGTTTAGAAAATTTGCATCTGCGGTTTCAACAGTAAGTCAACATTTTTAGTTTTATAATTATTATTATAATTTACTCTCCAAGCACATTATCAAACATAATTTTTTATATTAGCGTATTTGTAGTTGTTGAGAGGAAATGGGTGACGTCGAGAATAAATGTTTTATAAAGTGATTTTTTTGTATTATAGTAAGGGAGGGTATTTAAATGATCTTTGACTCATTTATTATTTACGTACTCTTATGGAATAGGGTTGTATAAGGATTAACCTTTCACTTTTAAATAGGAACTGTTCGTGGTTGGATACTTATTTTACATAGTTATAGAAATAAATAGTTCAGACTGCCACTGCCTATTGTTAAAGTCAATAATTTTTCTTGAAATATTATGTTGACAAGTATGATTATAAATAATGATCATGATGAATTTGTAAATCTGGCTATTACCCTAATGGCTAGTCATGTAAACATGCCTGTGCTAAAAGTTTTAAGTAGAAATTGTTTTTTTAGACTGATATTAGGCAGAAGAAAAATTTTAATTTTAATTTGTAATAAAAGAAAAGAGATAGGGATTAAATTATAGATTAGTTCTAATTATTTATTTATTTCAGGTTCGCTTAGCACAAAAAAATTTCCAGAACATTTCAAAGTTGAATCAAATTACAATTAATAATTCAGTTACCCGATCGTTTTGTAAGTATGAATTGAATATTTAGTAATTTTGATTTTTGAGTCTCACAGATGCATTTATTTTTTTAATTTTAGCTTTTGTTATTACTTATTTGTTGTAAAAATGATTGCTCAAAAATTAAAATATATACATTTTTTCTTGAAATTTATTAACAAATAAGTGATAAATCATTATTAAATAATATTAGTACAATAAAATTGTTGTCGGACCATATTTAATGATTTTGATCCCTTCATTCAACTAAATAAGAAAATAATAGATGACTAAAAAAGTTTTTAAAAAACTTAATTATTACCTTTTTTTATATTTATAATATTCACCTCAAGGAATTGATCCTTATAGTAGTTTTATATGGGCTTCATAGTTGTCAAACAAGTTAATTAAAAGTTCAGTGAAAGTGGTTTTGTTGTTGTACATATAAACTGATATTCTTTTATAATATGAATAGCATTATATTATTTATTTATAAGTTATTAGATATTAATAGTTATATCTTAAGGGTTGACTGTTAAGTTTATCTAATCAATTGTTTTTATGAATAATATTTGTTATTTCTTAGCTTTATCTCCGGTGACTGATGTTAAGGTACAAGAACCTGCACCACAATTTGAGGGTAAAGCTATTATTGATGGACAAATAAAAGATATTAAGCTATCAGATTTTGCTGGAAAATACTTGGTTTTATTTTTTTATCCCTTGGATTTGTAAGCCATAACCTATAAGTATTTTAATAAATTATAAATATGCTTATTATTATTTTAATTTTGTTCCAGCACATTTGTTTGTCCTACTGAATTAGTGTCATTTAGTGACCACATTGATGAATTTAAAAAAATTGGTGTCAATGTAGTTGGATGTTCATGTGACTCACATTTTTCACATTTAGCATTTGTTAATACTCCTCGAAAGGTTAATTTGCATTATTTAGAAAAACCCATTTTTTTTTTTTTATAGTTACTTATTTATTTGTGAATAATTATAGCATGGTGGTTTGGGTGGACTGAGTTATCCATTATTATCAGATTATAAAAAGGAAATCGCCAAAGCATATGATGTTCTTATTGAACCCGATGGCATACCACTCCGTGGCCTCTTTATTATAGATCCTAAGGTAGATAATAATAGTTTTAATTCCTTATAAAATATGTTTAAATTTGATCATATAATTTTAGGGTATAATAAGACAAATTACCATTAATGATCTGCCAGTAGGCCGTAGTGTAGATGAAGTCTTAAGACTTGTTCAAGCTTTTCAATTTGTTGATGAACATGGAGAAGGTAATACTATATTAAATAATATTTATAATATTATTATTATTATTATTATTCAAATATGATTTTTTTTATTTTAGTGTGTCCAATGAACTGGAAGCCAAATAGTCCAACTATTAAACCTGATCCAAATCTTTCAAAGGAATATTTTGATAAAGTCAACAAATAAATTATAGTTCAATGCTGAAAATACTTGAAAATAATTTTCACCATATTTAAAATTAATTAGGATATTGTCTTTTGATTAAAAAAATAATTATCTGGGATTTTTCTTAATTTTTTTAAACTTAAATGTTGGGTTGCTTAAAAAAATTACTAATCATATTTTGATGAATATAACAGTGAGATAATGGTTATTTAAACACAATTCAGTAGTATAATAAATGATTGGTTTATTATATTAACACAAATTTATGCAATCCGTCATTAGGATTATTAGAAATTAATTAATTTTTAAATTCAACTGGTAATTTTAATTTGTTAAATAATGAGCAATCATGATAAAGATAAATATATTCATATTTAGTTTTTTCTCATAATTTTAGTATTTTGTACTTACCAGTTTCCTATAAAATGTATAGATCTTAATGGTAGCATATAGAAACATTTTTCTTTTTTTATTAATTTTAAAATAATACTTCAACATTGAAATTATGTGAACACATGTTTATATAGTATTGACTTAGGTATCTTTCCGTGTGTTGCGGGGTCGACCAGTTCTTCCAGGTTGCCCCGGAGACACTCAGCCCCTTTGTATAACCACGGGGTTGTCTCTTCCGGGCAGTAGTCCCGGATGACTCCAGGGGTCCTGCCCGGGGCGTCGCCTCACCTCGGGCGCCATAATGAGTGACCGCCGCGGCCAGAGCCCGACGGATTATCGCCTGAATCAAACCCCTTCTACTAAGGCGGTACTCCCACAACCACCACGAGTCCTTCCTCAAGTGTGCCTTTCCCGGTGCGGGCGAGTGCGAGTCCTCGGTGAGTCCACGCGGTCGTGCGCCTCGGGTCCAGCACCCCTGGAGCGTCGAGGCGCTATTAGCAAGCCGACTCGACGGGGCTTACTCCGAGTCCCGTGGTAATTGACTTAGGTATATGTGATTATGAGTGAATAAATTAAACAAAACAAACAATATGTAAAAAATTAAAAATGATGAGTTAATAACTTAAAAACCAAAATGACATACAAAAAAAAAAAAAAATTTGTCCTATTCAAAATTTACTCAACTATTATTTTAGAATAAAGTTTTTAAAAATTCAGTTGCAATGTTAATAAAAAAAATATGAAGTAAATTAGATAAATTTGTTGGAAACTGTATTGATGAAAGTGGCGTTGTTATTATTTATCAACAAGAAATAAAAGATAAGTAAAAAGTTGTTCATTAACCAAAGACTAAACATTTACTGTTTTGAGAATCAGAAATAAGAGTAATGACCTCTGAAGTTAAAGTGACTATAAAAATATGAAAAATGGTAACCTATAGAACCTAACAATGTAGAAGTCAAAATCTCTTAAAATAACATTGAAGGTGGAATAAAATGGATTACTAAAATTTTCAATAACATCTATGATATAGAAGATATACCAAAAGAATAGCTAAAATCAGATTTTATTGTACTACCCAAGAAGATTGGACTAAGAAATGTAAGGAGTACTGTGCTATAAATCTTATGAGTCATATTTTAAGTCATCCATAAATTATACACAACAAATTTTAGCAAATCAATGTGGTTCCATTAAAATAGTGGGTACAAGAGTTATTTGAAGTGCAAGTCTTGATCCAAAGATGTACAGACATAAATTGTGGTGTTTATGTATGTCTGATTGATTATGAGAAAGGCTTGATGAAGTCAAACAGGACAAAATTATAATAATACTCAAATTGCATAGCTTGTTTAAGACTTGATAAAGATATAACCGAGGATTTCAATATACAATATCGTTGGACAAGAATACACCTTTTTCAATTAATTTTTAATCATTTATCAGAGAAAATTGAAAATATTCAATGAGGCTCTTGATAAGATAGACGAAGACATACAACTTATCAGAGCCACAATCAATAATATCGAATATGTGGGTAACACTATTATTTCAGCCAATAATATTGCTGAATTGCAAATCTTTATGGACCACATTGCATAGCACAGTAATCAATTGGACTGAATATTAACGTCCACAAATTAAAACAAATGGTAATTACTTATTACTTTATTAACTAGAACATTAATTTCTTTATGACAATCAAACTAGGATAAAAAGAGAGAAACAATATTGCTATTTAAACAAGAAAAATATTTAATACAATAAGCACAGTTTTCTAGTCATAACTCATTTCTTGAAAAAAAAAAAAAATGAGACACATAAGATATGTGTTCATTATGCTGCTTTGCGTGGTGAGGAATCCTGGGCTCTAATTAATACCATCGAAAAAAAAAACCATAAGCATTTATGTGATAGTTATAGAATACTGCTATAGAAGTAATTACATACTGTTAATAGGTAATAATATAATAATTAGTATAATAAACTTTTTATTTACAAACATTTTTTTATTCTTCAACAACAACTAGCACTTTTTTTTATTTAACTTAAATTTTTGTATTAATATTTTACTATGGGAGTTAATTATTAGTGTACTTTAACGGTATTGTAATTCAATCATAAAAATAATGATTACAAATAAAAAATTATTCTTGTTGAATAGCGACAATGCAAGTGCATCAAGCGTAAGATCTCAATCAAAAATACAGGATATATTGTGAAAGTGTTAAAATATATTTATATATTAAAGTCTAAAGGCATCATGTAACTTTCACATTAACATCAACAAGTTTTAACATCACTTATAAAGGTAGGTACCCTTAATCTTAGTTTAACCAATACTGAGAATTAATTTTATCGATGATACCAGTTTACAATTATATACAAATATTAAATTACCTTATACATCTAAAAACAGATTGAGAGGTAATAACAGGTCTCACTATATGTGCTAAATCAACAATACAATTTTATTTAATAGAATTCACAACAAATATAGACATAAATAATTAAGTTTTTTTTCAAAAAACTATGATAATATAACAAAACTTATGATTGTAAAAAGGCGTAATAACAGTATTAAACATTTAAATTTTATAGTATATCAAAAAAATTGAATTACATGAAAAAAAAAATATAATATATGTAATAACAAAATATTTAAAGAAAACAATGAATAAATAGGCAAACATTAAAAACCAGAGTATAATAGAATTGGTAAGTCAGGTAAATAGTTAAGGTAATATTTTAAAAAAAGTAACACTAATAGATATAATATATATAACTATTACTTTGATATTAAAATAAATACTAAGATAAGTAATAAGTATACGTTGAAAATTATGTAAAATTAATTAACCAACAGCCGCTAAGTGAAAACCAAAAATGATTTATAATAAGTGAGATAACAATAATAGTACTTAACATATAAGTTAAATCAAATATATTAAAAGAAATTCTATTTTAAATTAGCATTGTATACAAATATGGACATTTTTATTCCTAAAATTAAAAGGCTAATATATAATAAATAAAAATAAAAATGTATTTAATAAGTATAAATATAAGGGTAAGATAAAAAAATGGCGTCAATTATTTCACACATTTAAAAAAAAAAGATTTATTTAGGTATCTACATTTTTATTTAGATTTAATGCGTGTAGTAATTCTAGTAATATTTCTATAAAGTAACTTTCTCATATTTAGACAAATTGAGATGTGTGTCAAGTATAACATTGTTTAAATTATATATAAAGATTGGTAATTATTTAAAAAACATACAACCTGTCAAATATGGATCTAATTTAAATCTTTCAGTGAAAATAGATTAATTATTAAATTATATTAATTTTAAACAGTGAATACCTATTATTTTATCTATAGAATAGGTCAAGTAAAAAAATGTAAATTATAAACAACTACGATTATTTAAATACATGTTGATATTTAAAAAAATTAATTAGTTCCATAAATTTTGTAGAAGACTCATTGAAAAATTTAATAATATAAATTAATTGTAAGTTAAAAAACTATAATTAAACAATTATTTAGTAAAAATGTTTAAAGGTCAAATGTCTTAACAGTCTGATCATAACATAAAAACAAAATATGGTAATAAAGACATTTAATACCTACCAGTCGATAAAATACAAATAAAAATTTTTAAGAATCACATTAAAGAAAAATATAGAAATAATAACATCAGTACAGCAGCACCATTACACAGAGTATTGCACAATATACTATTTTTTTTTTTTTTTTTTAAGTAACGGTATCATAGAAGTTAGGTTTTTAATTTTGAAACAGAATATAAGTCATGCTATGTAATAATATAATATTGTAATTTAATTGAAGTTAAGTATAATGATTAAATAATAATGAGTATTAATGTATTACTTTACAATTAACATCACAAAAACTAATGCATAAAATATTTTATAATAAATTTAATTACAATATATATGTTTTTATATTTTATTTAAACTTTAAAATATATTTAGATGAAACAGTCTTATAACAAAACCTATTCAATAAAATATGTATCTTAATTATTATTCATATATTTTGAAATGTAAGCATTTCTTTATATTGCTTAAAAATTAAAACATATATTATTTTAAAATAGAAATCAGGTTAGATCCAAATTATTTTTGCATACATACTGGTTGATTTTTTTAGCAGTACACACTCATTTATCATTATCACAAAAAGTATAAACATTTTTAAAAATCAATACATTCATTTCTCTTTGAGAATCGAAGATGTTTTTTTTTACAAAAGTTTTGTAATGATTTAATTAAAATTATATAAATATTTTCAAAAATGTTAAAACTATTTAAGACAACGAATGTTCATTGGTAAGAGTTATTCTGAGCATAAATATTATAATTTATAAGTAAATACTTATAGGAATAAGAAGATGAATAAAGTCAGCGAAATAAAATTATATAACAAAATGTGACGACAGATCATCATATAGCTTAAGATATAAAGTATGTATATAGAATCTATATTATATGATATTTATCATTGAAATCACAGAAAATATAAAAATTCTTCTTAATTATTTGCATGTTATAAACACTGTACATATTTATGTTTATTTCTTAGTTAACAATAAACCAGAAAAGTCTTTAAACTATAATTTT